CTCTCTCTCTCTCTCTCTCTCTCTCTCTCTCTCTCTCTCTCTCTCTCTCTCTCTCTCACACACACACACACACACACCCACACCCACACCCACACGCACACGCACACACAAACAATGGTAATGTTATGATTGTGGTCGTCTTAAGATGATGTTCAATTGATTCAGCTAATTTATGAAGATCATCTCTTTTTTTTCTAGCAAATCCTTGTTTTTTCAAAGCCTCCTGTATTTCAGCAGATAAAGATTGATCTAAGCTTGTGTTTTTTTTTGTCAAACGTCGTCTCCACAAGGCGCCTTCAAGAATCCACCGAAGAGCTAAAGTTTCTTGAAGACTCTTTGGTATAATGGATGCAGCTCAAAAGAACGGGAAAGAAATGAGAATAACATGGAAGGAGAAGAAGAATGGAGAATAAAAGAAGAAGATGAGCATAAAGTTGGGACCAATGTCACTTCTCATCCATCATGCCTTCAACTCTCTCCCCCATCCTCCCCACCATCATTTTCTCTCTACTGTCGATATAAAATTTATCAGCTGCAGGCTGTGTCAGAGTCCGTCATAGCCTTTTTTTTTGCATCCGATGCTGGACCTGGCGGCTGAGATTCGTCCTGAAACGCTTTCTTTTGCCTGCACCTCGTGGTGCGTTTGCCGGGCTCGTGGACAGTGTCACTGGTCGTCTCAGGTGTCAGTGAGCTAAGAGAGCTCCCCATATTGTCCGGAAAAAAAATGCCAGTAGTGAGCTTAGAGAGTTTTAGAGAATGTAACAAAATGTCAGAGAGAGTCAGACATTTTGAAAAAGAGTCAGGGATGGAGTGTCAGAGACTGTCAGACGTTTTGAAATAGAGTCAGATATGGATTTTTTTTATTTTTATTTTTTGGACTATTTCTCGATTTATGCGTGTCATCCTTACTTGCACTGGGGCCATGCTAATCTTCTTTCTCGGTATCGTTCCAATTTTAACGGATGTCCCGAAGGGCCGAAGCACAGTCAGGGATTTTTCAAGTGCGATCCAAAGCATTCTTGATCGAATGTGGTCGTGTTTGGAGTGATATACAGAAAAAAAAATTCAAAAAAAAGATTAAAAAAAAAGAAGTGAAAACCAAATTTGAAACAATAATAATGCGTTAGTTTCCAACTGACAATTACTCTGACAGTTCTTTATTTTTTGTCTGACAGGTTTTGACATATTCTGACAGGTCTGGACCGTTAGGCCGAACCTGAGTGTTTTGTTTTGTTTTGTTTTGTTTGTTTTGTTTTGTATCCTCTTCATGGCGATGTTTGTTTGTTTGTTTGTCACAGAGAGTGGTAGTTCCCGGCGGTCTTGTGTTCATCAATGGGTATCAGGTCAACCATGAATCATAGTTATCAAACTGAAACTAGAGGGGTGGTTTTCTGGATCCATTGTTACTGTGGAAACCAAGAACACAATGCTACCAGTAGGTATGATGTTTACATTCAGCAGGAAGAATGACGTGGGAAGCCACCCAGATACCTCCCGACTCCACCCTACAACTGCAAGCATTTGAAAATGCACATTTAGAATCACCAAGTATATTGAAGGCTGCTTTGAACAGTTCACTTGTTGTGTGTCCGGATATGTAGATAGGATAAGGTTGCTATTATAGGATGTGGTACGAGGAGGACTGGGGTCTCACTGGTTGGACGACTGTGGTTGGGGATGGGACCGGCCGGGAGTGCCTCTCAGCCCCATTCGACCGCAGCATTCATGTGAGGGACACCGGGCCCGCTTCCCGGTCTTAATGAAAGTTGGTTAGAGAGCAAAGAGAAGCATCAAAATGGAATCAGTTCAATTCCACAGTTGTTGAAATGCAACTGATTATGTAGTTGTTTCTTTTCCCACACGCTCATTTTTCTCATGCAAAAAAAAAAAAAAAAACATCGACTACATAACCAATTCCCTTCCGGCACTGGGCATAAAATCAGGCGCTGTGGCAGTGACACAGACACACACTCTCTCACACACGGGCTCATTAGACATTCCTTGGGGCGTCCTCGGGGCCCAAGGAAGTTTCCTTGGGGGTTTTGAAGGAAATTCCCGCCCTCGTTA